TTTAATTCACCAAAAAAAAAAAAAAAAACCAATTACCCCTATCATTTTGTACTTCCCCAGTTTAAAGACAAGGCTAAATGGCTTAACCTGCCCTCCACATTCTGGATAAGCAGTGGCTCAGAATACACAGCAGTTGCATTGTACAGAAGCTAAGAGTGTGAGTCAACCAAGCCAATCAAGTCTGGGTTTGAATCCCAGCTCCTCCCACTTAACTAGTTATTTTTTTAAACATCTTTATTTTTTAATTTATTATTTCAGAATATTATGGGGATACAAATATTTTGGTTACATAAATTGCTTTTGTACTGTTTGAGTCAAAGTTATAAGTGTGCCCATCCCCCAGATAGTGTGCCTTGTACCCATTAGGTGTAGACCTAGTGTTTCATAGATCAGTAGGGTGACTATAGTTTACAATAATCTATTGTATATTTCAAAATAGCCAGAAAAGAATAATTCAAATGTTTCTAGCATAAATAAAAGATGAATATTAAAGATGATGGCCGGGCGCGGTGGCTCACGCCTGTTAATCTAGCTCTCTGGGAGGCTGAGGCGGGCGGATTGCTCGAGGTCAGGAGTTCGAAACCAGCCTGAGCAAGAGCGAGACCCCGTCTCTATTATAAATACAAGAAATTAATGGGCCAACTAATATATATAGAAAAAACTAGCCGGGCATGGTGACGCATGCCTGTAGTCCCAGCTACTTGGGGAGGCTGAGGCAGTAGGATCGCTTGAGCCCAGGAGTTTGAGGTTGCTGTGAGCTAGGCTGACGCCATGGCACTCACTCTAGCCTGGGCAACAAAGCGAGACTCTGTCTCAAAAAAAAAAAAAAAAAAAAAAAAAAGATGATGAATATACCAATTACACTGACTTGATCTTTATAAATTACATGAATATATTAAATTATCACATGTACCCTGAAAATATGTACATTATATGTAAAAAATTTTAATTAGAAGAAATAAAATATTTCTAAAACAGCAAAAAAAGGAAAAATACTACCTTTGTGACCTTGGGCAAGATATTTAATCTCTCTAATTCATTTGCTCCTATGTAGAATGGGGACAATATTAGGACCAATCTCATTGGTTACTGTGAAATAATATAATGTAAACTTGCCAGCACAGCATCTGAGATGTAGTAGGAGCTCAATAATGGTAGTATACTATATTATTCTGCCACCTCTTCCTACAAAGCTGGCAGCATTTGGTAATCAGATCCTACCTTAGGGGGATCTGGCTGGTAGCTCTCGGCTATATGTTCTGCTCTACATTCGAAGTAGGTACTTCCTGTGATTCTGTGACTAACAATGTCTGACTGAAACCAAGCAAACTGCTGCCTCGCTTACAGAATGGCCCTTCCTCCAACACAAGTTAGACTGGTATAACCAAGGCTATAAACGCAACCACTGGAGAACGTGGATGTTTGCCTTGCTTATATTCTTGTGAGGTTTAATTAGTGGATTCTAACTGGATCTCTTATGTTTAAAGTCACTACTCAAAATGGTAACGCAATATACATGATTAAAAGCACAAAAATAAAATCAGAATCAGAAAAATTGGTGATAACCAAATTAAAAGGAGACCTGATCAATTTCTGAAGCAAGGCTTTTCCACTAACTATAGCTGGGTATTCTTGGGTAAGCTGCAATTTTTCAGTTTCTTCATTTATAAAATGAAGATAATGGCTCTCACCTCACAGGGTTGTCACGAAGATTATGATAACTGATGACAATGGGTAAGAATAACTAACATTTATTAAAGACTTACCATGTATGAGACACATGCTAAGTGCTTTAACATATGTTGTTCCCTATGAAGTAGATATTCTTTTTATTTCTATTCCATGAATCAGAAAAATGAGGCTCATAAAGATAAAATGACTCCCCAATGTCTCACAGCAAGGAAGTGGGTGGGGCTGAAATTCAAAGCCAGGTTTTATGACTCCATATAGCCTGTGGTCTTTCTTTACTTTTCTTTTCTTTTTCTTTTTCTTTTTTTTTTTTTTTTTTTGAGACAGAGTCTCACTCTGTCACCTGGGCTAAAGTGCAATGGCATCATCATAGCTCACTACAGCCTCAAACTACTGGGCTCGAGTGATCCTTCTGCCTCAGCCTCTCAGGTACCTGGGACTACAGGTGCACACCACCATATCTGGCTAATTTTTCTATTTCTTTGTAGAGAAGGGGTCTTGCTCCTGCTCAGGCTGGTCTCAAATTCCTGAGCTCAAGCAATCTTCTGGCCTCAGCCTCCCAGACTGCTAGGATTACTGGTGTGAGCCACTGTGCCCAGCCCAGCCTGTAGTCTTAATGCATTGCCTAACTCTGTGAGGTCATTCAGTTCATCTGTTATCTCTACCTACTCCTAGTTTTTTTCCTCATTTCTTTCTATTGGCACCTGCTTCTGACCTAGTCACCCACCCCAATAACTCCCAGTTTGTCTGAAAACTGTAAACTGGTACTCACAGTGGTGGTCAGCTTTCCTCCATTCTTCTGGACATACTGGATGGAATCATGGATTGTCGAAAAGAGACCGAGCAGAATGTTTTCCATGTCGTAGATCCTATACATGCCATTCACAAGTTCTTCGAGAGACAGGATATATTCTCTCCAGTACTTGTCAATCTCCACCACACCTGCCATACAGCCTTGCATGACCACATTGCAATAGCCACCACAAGGCTTAACCATCATCAGTCCCTGGCAATAAGAACAGTACCACATTCTGGTGAGCATTCGGCCACAGTCCTTACTGAACTTCAGGTGATCTGTTGTATTGATCACTTCGATTCCGAGATTCAGAGCCTGAAGGAAGATCCTAGTGACTTGCAGTGACTTGGAAACCTGGGTCATAATAAGCTTGGGGAAATTTCCAAATACTTTCAGGTCACGTCTTGCTCCTCGGAGGCACTCGTTGATGTCTAAGGCTGATTCAGGAAGGCCTGGGTTCATTAGCTGGGTATAGATGACTGGAAAGAGGCTGTCAAACAATTCATTGACCATATCATCCACATTGATGTCAGAACCCAAGATGTAGAGAGACACATCTGTGAAAAATTCACCCACAAACTCAAAAGCTTGTGGAGTTAGGCTTGGGTAGTTGTTCTTGAACATGGCATTGGTGTAGTTCTTGGCATGGCGAACAACAATTTCAAAGGCCTCTGTAAAATAAGAGATATAGAAATGTTGACAAATTAAAGCATGAAAATCCAGGGTGTAATTGAATTTGAAATTTCTCTATTGCTGTGGTGATTAAGGTCCCATTTGCCTTAAATAATTGAATCTCATTCATTTCTGGCATTGCCTCTACTCTTGCAGTTGTTTCCTCCCATAAATCAATTTTCCTTTCTGAACATGAAGTCCAAACTCTGATGTGCACATAAATTCTTAAACACACAAATTATATTTCTAATGACGAAAGCCAGGATTCAGTTAACATTTTGGCCTTTCATGAAAATATGGATTAAAAATTGGCTAAATGAGAAGTTATTTCTCTTTCTCTCATTGATTTATTCAGTTAAAAAGAAATTGTATTTCAGGACATTTCATTTTTAGAAAGAGGTAAATATATGACAACAAACCATATACTATATAAACTCACATAAACAATTTAAGTCTATTCAGCCCTGGAGGAGAGGCATAGATCTTAGCCAAGATTGAATGCTATCATGAATTTAATCATTTTTAGTAGATTTTCTCCTGATAATTTTAAAGGGAGCTATTTGACAGATTGCCAGACCTGGAAATGGAATTTATCCACTGAATTTGTATCTGGGAAGGGGGGGAAATCCATGCACTTATCTATCATTTGGTATTGAAAATAACACCTCTATTTATAACCTGAACATCTGGAGGATAACTACTAAGCTTTCTTGCTAAGTTCAGCTTCCACATGGATTGGAAGCCTTATCTACTCTACAGAGACCACAAATTCATGATTACATCTGCTGCCCCGACTCCTTGGCATAAGACCTAATTAGTATCCTTGGTTTGAGAGACAAAGTAAGAATGTCACTATCTCATTTTCTCCAAACTGAAATATTCCAGACACAAATTATCCCAAATAATCAGAGTTCCACATTTATATGAGGGAAGGAAAAATAATCACAATAATAAGTTTTTCAAGAAATAAGAAAGAGTTTAAAAATAAAAATAACTAAGTTGCCTGAGACATTTAAAATTAACTTAGTACTTCCTTTCATTTCCTTCCAAAGTGCAAAGGTCCATGACAGATGTACTCCAAATGATGCCAATTCATGAGCCTTGAAAAATCAAATTATTACCACTTTCAGACTACTAGAGAGACTGTATTCCAACAGTTCCTTGGGATCACTTACCCCAACATTTCGGTCATCTGTAGCAGAAGTGAGCTCTAGGTTGTGCTACCACCATCTGCCCCAGATTTGTCCCAAAGTAGAACATGCTCCCTGTATTCTTCCCTTGGGCTTATGACATGCCCAGCAATGTTGAATAGATGCCAGTGCAATTCTACCGGGCTTCCAAGCCCACTTGAGAAAGTAATGAGTTTAAACAAAACTTAAGTTTCTACAAAAGTTTTTGAGAATATATATGTTGGCTGTATATATACTCAGGCTGTAGGTCTGAGGGCAGCGACAGTACAACTCTTACTGGGGCATGTTAGTTTGTGTTGATTACTTCTACTTTGCAGTTGTGTGACCCTGGGAAAAATCTGCCTGGCTACAAGTTGTTGCATGTTCATTTGTTTGTTTCATTTTATTTAAAACATTAAGCAATTCCTAGAAAGTTAATCTATCTTATTACAGTCCTCCAAAATCCATATGGTACTTTATTCTCAATCTTTGTATCTGAAAGTTGGAAGAGGCCAAGAGATCATCTAGCCCAATACAAAGGACCAATCAATGAATTATTTAAAAATAATCAGAAATTTAGAGATTTAAAACTATTTCTTTTAATTTCAGCTAGAAATCACTTCTTATATACTAGGCTCTGTGCTAGGTACTAGGGGTATGTAAGTGCTGAGTAGATGGAGGTAAGTGATATAACATCCTTATTTTAGGAGTACTCACAAGCTATATGGTTTAGAGCTTACAAAACATTTCCAAGTATATTATGAGTATATCTATATATTAAAGTATATCTACTTTTTACAGCAATCTTTTGAATTTGGTATCACATTCCCATTTTATAGATGACAAAATTGAGGCTCAGCACATGTTCCTAGGGGTAACACTGCTGCAGAGTAAAAGTAATGATCACAAACTAGTGTCTCCCAGTGACAGTTCTACTGATGCTGCCCTCAGACCTACAGCCAACACACATATATCCTCAAAAACCTTAGTTAAGTTCTGTTTTAAACTCATTATTTTCCCATTGTCTTCCCCTCTTTAAGTGGAAGTGTACTAGAAGAAATTGCAGCCTAAAGACCAACAAAGCAGAGGCACACTTTTGCCCTTGCCTTGGGTCAGTATGAAGTAAGAGAAAGGAGAAGACTGCTGTGGAGATGCTATCCCTCTGGTTCTCAAATCATCCAAACAACAACCTAAAATGAATACAAGGCAAATTTTTTCTTAAGTACAGTGTATTCAGTCTCAAATGTACAAAATATATAATAGGGCAATTCCATAGACTGTATTGTCATAACCTTTTGTTTTGAAGTTTCTGTTACTAGCACTACTAGATCAATAGAAAAAGAAAATTACAAAAGATCATGAACTCTTCTGAAGAAAGAATAACAACAATGGATATTGCAGGGAAAAAGGGCCAGGGGGTCATATTGAACCTCAACCTCACATGGGCTCCCTGCTCCAACTTCCACAGTTCAGAATTCACTTAGCACATCTCTAGATTTTACCCAGCCCCCTTACTTCTGTATCACCAAACCATAACTGTATAGGTAAATAAATGCTCCTGGGGGACATATAAAAACCAACACTAGGTGAAAAGTGATGCTCAGCTTTTCTTGGTAACTTGAGATTTCATGAAATGAAGTCAAGGGCTAGAATTACTACAAGAAAATTCAGCTCATTGATTTTTTTTTTTTGGTCAGATAATAATGTACACTTCAGCTAGGAGAGGTTTTCCTCTTTCTTTCCTGGGAAGAAGACAAAAGTTATATCTAGGAAAAATTGAAACAATGTAAAATCAGAGCTATCATGAAAAATTTGGCACTAAATAGAAAATTCTATTTTTGATAATTCTTCTGTAAGAATAAATTATGCAGATAAATAGATCTAGTAAATTTGAGTTAATATATATCTTAATATAACAAGGTTTACAGATTTCTAGATGCCTCTATCACCTTCCTGGTCACCACTATTTGGACATGTTCTAGTGTTGTCAATGTCCTCCTTAAACTATGGTGCTCAAAAAGAGATATGATTTCCATCATCCTACAGATAATTGTTCAAACAAAAAAAGAAAAAAAAAAAAAAGAGAGATATGATTTCCAGATGTGGTTTGATAAGTAAAATGTACAATCAGGTTATTATCTCTCCTTAACTTCTACTACTTCCCAGGCCATATAGCCTATCACTGCAGCAAATGATTATCCTTAGTATTTGGTGCTGATGTTCCTGTATTCAGTCCCAGAGAGAAGGAAATATGTTTTCATGGGCCTTTTCAGTAGTAAACTAGGTATTAAAAAAATAAGAGTATACTTGGGGTTGGAAGAAGAGAGGAATAAATGAACCATGAAGTCCCTTTCAAGTCTTTTATTTTTTTACTATTTTTTTTTTTTGAGACAGAGTCTCGCTTTGTTGCCTAGGCTAGAGTGAGTGCCCTGGCGTTAGCCTAGCTCACAGCAACCTCAAACTCCTGGGCTCAAGCAATCCTTCTGCCTCAGCCTCCCGGGTAGCTGGGACTACAGGCATGTGCCACCATGCCCGGCTAATTTTTTCTATATATATTAGTTGGCCAATTAATTTCTTTCTATTTATAGTAGAGACAGGGTCTCGCTCTTGCTCAGGCTGGTTTCGAACTCCTGACCTCGAGCAATCCACCCGCCTCGGCCTCCCAGAGTGCTAGGATTACAGGCGTGAGCCACCGCGCCCGGCCCCTTTCAAGTCTTTTAGAATAAAATAGTTCTTATAGAAGCAGGTTATTTTTTTCAAAGCAAATTTTCCAGTGCTGTACGAATGGCAAATACTTAAGAACCTTTTATGTTTCTAGGATAAATGCCTCACAGTGGGTTGGACTCAAAATGATCCTTGTTTTCAAACGCAGGTACCTTTTTATTTTTATTTTTTTAATTGGTCAAGTGATGCAGTGGAAGTTCAGGCACCTTAATAGAAAAAGAAAACCGATATGAGGTACCTGCAAAGTACATGCCAGCATCTGTGGTGAACTTGCTCACATCTGTCCTCTTGTTCAACTTTAACATAACCATAGGTATTTGGAATTGTTTTTATTTTACTGGTGAGGAAACTGAGGCTCAGAGAGGTTAAGTGACTCACAGAAGGTAATACCTCTAATTAAATGCCAAGGCCTGAATTTGAATGTAGGTCAGTCTCATCAGAGCCTTTGCTAATTCCAAATGTGCTTCAGCCCTAAAAACTGGATGTCGGGAAACTTCTGTTTTCAACTTCAACATGTAAAGACTTTGGAAAGAAAGAATAACAACAATGGATATTGCAGGAAAAAAGGGCCAGGGGGTCATATTGAACCTCAACCTCACATGGGCTCCCTGCTCCAACTTCCACAGTTCAGAATTCCATCCCCAGCAACAAGAAAGTAGTTGAACAAATTGAAAATCCATGATTCTTCTTAGACCCATCAGGGAATTGCAGTCACGCCAAGTTGCCACCCTGAAATCTGGGGAGACACGCAAATACAAGGAATCACACTTCCTTGAGTTTTACCTCTAGAAACCACACAAAGTTTTCACAGTGAGGATTCAAGAAAAATTTCCTTATTTGTCATGCAGGGGGAAAGAAAAAGCAATAATTTTGAAATACATCATGAGCATTCCTCCATAAAAAATGCCTGCTTTCCAAGGAGAACACAATTTTACCAAAGCCTGATATACCTGGAGGAAGGGCAGTTAGATAACTTATAGCCCTCTCTATCCTTCTTGTCACACATAGGGAGAAAAAAGGGCTAGGAAAAATTTCTGAAGGTGACAGCCCAAGGACTTAGGCCCAATAAAATACTGAGATTAATCATTAAAGTACAGACAATGTCCACTTCCCCTACACTCTACCACCATATCAGTAGGTCTGAAGTATAACAGCAGTTACAACTGAGAGGACTGCAAGACACAGATCCTATTTAAGAAGGAGTTCTTAGGGAAACCCCAAAACAATGGGTGAGAAAAAACAAAACAAGGGCACTAGAGAAAACTAAATCTCTGGCACCTACAGCTACAGCAAACATTAAATAGCCCAGCTCCTAACAAGATTAATGTAAAACTTCACATTAGAAGTCTAATTACTTCAAATTCCTGTTACTCAGTATATCATGCCCTGTTTTCAACAAGCAATTACAAGCCATGCTAAAAGGCAAGAAAAACAGTCTGAAGAGACAAAGCAATTATCATAACCACATTTGGATATGGCACATAATTTGGAATTATATAGGGAATTTAAAATAACCATGATTAATATAATAAGGGTACTAATGGAATAAAAACATGCAAGAACAAATGAGTAATTAAAAGACAGAGATGGAAACTCTAAGAAATATCAAAAAATGTTAGGAATCACAAACACTAAAACAGAAATGAAGCATACCTTTTATGGGCTTATCAATATACCAAATACAACCAAGAAAGCATCAGTGAGATTGAAGATATGTCAATAAAACCTTCCCAAAATCAAATGGGATAGAAAAAAAAAGAATGAAAAAAAGAGAAAAGAATACCCAAGAAATTTGAGAAAAATTCAAAAGGTATAAAATATGTTTAATTGTAATTCCAGAAAGAAAGAATGGAGCAGAAGAAATATTTGAAGATATAAAATGACCAAGAATTTTCCAAAATGCTTGATAGACACCATTCACAGATCTCAAAAGCTCAGAGAATAATAAGCAGGAGGCATACCAAAATATCTATTCCTAGGCATATCATATTCAAACTGCAGAAAATCAAAGACAAAGAGAAAATCTCCAGAGAAGCCAAAGAGGAAAAAAAAACCCTGCCTTATTTATAGAGGAATAAGGATAAGAATTATTACATCAAGTTTCTCCTCAGAAATTATGCACACAAAATGAATAAACCAAAATATTTTTAAATGTTGAAAGTAAGAAAACCCCACCAACCTAGAATTCTGTATCCAACAAAATTATCCTTCTAATGTAAAGGAGAGATAAAGACTTTCTCAAACAAAACTGGAGGAAATTTGTTACTCGTAGACCTGCCTTGCAAGAAATGATAAAAGAAATTCTTCAGGAAAGTCTTATAGATCAGGAAATCAGATCTATATAAAGAAAGGAAGACTATTAGAAAAGGAATAATGAAGGTAAAATAAAGTTTTTTCTTAACTGATCTAATAGATAAGTGTTTGTTCAAAGTAACAATAGCAACAATGTACTTGGTAATTATAGCATATGGATAAGTGAAATGAATGACAGTGATGTTATAAGAAATTGGAGGGAGGAATTGGGAATATTCTTTTATAAGATACAATGCTAATGAAATAATAGTGTTATTTGAAAGTGGCTCAGAATAGTTGTAAATGTATATGCAAACTTTAGGGCGATCACTAAAAAATTTTTAAAAGAAGTATAATTGATATGCTAAGAAAGGAGAAAAATAAAATTATACAAAATGTTCAGTTAGAACCAGAGAAGGCAGAGCTAGAGAGAAAGACTTAATCAAAAAAATTTTAAACCAAAAACCAAACAAACGAACAAAAACAAAGAATAAGTGCAATGAATAGAAAGTAGTTACAAATATGGTGGATTTAATACTATGTCAATCATCACTTTACATGTGAATGTTCTAAATACACAAATTAAAAGATAGAGACTATCAGAGTGGTTATAAATATAAGACTTAACTTTATGTTGTCTACAGGAAACACATCTTAAATATAAAGACACATATAAAGGGAAAGAGAAAGACATACTATGCTAACACTAGTTTAGAAAAAACTGGAGTAGCTAAATTAATTTCAGGTTAAGGACACTTCAGAAGAAGGAAAATTATCAGGGATAAAGAGAGTCATTAAATAATGACAAAGGGGTCAGCTCTCCAAAAGGAAAAAAAAAACAAACAAAAACAATCCTTAATGTGTATGCACCTAACAACACAGCAATAAAATACATGAAGTAAAAACTGATATAACTGCAAGGAAAAGTATACAAATCAACTATTATAGTTGTAGCATTTAACAGCTCTCTATCAGTAACTAACAAATCCATCAGGCAGAAAATTAGCAAGGATATGGTTGAACTGAATAGCCCCATCTATCAACTGGATCTAATTGACATTTATAGAATACTTCATTTATTAACAGCAGAATACACATTATTCTCAAGCTTACATGGAACATTCACTAAGATAGACCACATTCTCGGCCATAATATATACCTTAATGAATTTAATAGCATAAAAATAAAACAAAGAATGTTATTAAACCACAATGGATTTAAATTACAAATCATAACAGAAAGATAAGATAATCCCTAATCTCTTAGAAATTAAACAACATACTTCTACATAACATACAGGACAAAGAAGAAGTCTCAAGAAAAATTTTTAAATATTTTTAGTTAAATGAAAATGACAATACAGCTTATAAAAATTTGTGGCATGCAGCAAAAGCAGTGCTTAAAAAGAAATTCATTGCATTGAATGCATATATTAGAAAAGAAGAAAGATCTCAAATCATAACCTAAGATTCTGTCACAGGAAACTAGAGAAAGAAGAGCAATATAAATGTAAAGTAAGCAGAAAAAATAAATTATAAAAATTAGAGCAGAAATAAATGAAATTTAAAACAGAAAATCAATAGATAAATCTAAAAAATTAAAAGCTGGTTATTTCAAAATAGCAATAAAATTTAAAAATATCTAATCAGGCTAACCAAGAGACAAAGAAGACATAATTTACTAATATGAGAAATGAAAGAAGGGTCATCACTACTGCTCCCATAGATAATAAAAGAGTAATACATGAATGTTAGGTAAAACTCTATGTCTGTGAACTTGATAAAACTCATGAAATAGACCAATTCCTTTACAGACAGAAACTATCAAAAATTACATAAGGAGAAATAAATTATCTTAATTGGCCTGTATCTATTAAAGAAATTGAATCCATGATTAATAATCTTCCAAAAAGTAAGCACCTGGGCTAGATGGGTTCACTGGTGAATTCTACCAAATATTTGAGAAAGAAAGGATATCAATTCTCTACAGTCTCTTCCAGAAAACAGAAGCAGACAGAACACTTCCTAACTTATACTATAAAGCCAGCACCCAAACCAGATAAAACTATTAAAAGAAAGGAAAGTTACAGATCAAAATGTCTCATGAACATAAATGCAAAAATTCACAACAAAATATTAGCAAATGAAATCCAACAATATATAAAAAGAATTATACGCCATGGCTGGTGCATATCTGGAATAAACTAGATACACAAGGCTGGTGTATATCAGCCTTGATATACTGATATACAGCTGGTGTATATCAAATATCAGTTAATGTAATCCATCACCTCAACAGAAAAATCATATGATCCCATCAATAGATGCAGAAAAGCATTTGCCAAAATTGACATCATTCATGATAAAAACTCAGTAAACTAGGAATAGAGGGAAATTTTTTACACTTGATAAAGAACATCCACAAAATATTGACAGCTAATATCATATTTAATAGTGAGAAACTACATGCTTTTCCCCTAAAATCAGCAAGAAGGCAAGGATGTCCCTCTCTCAGCACTCTTATTCAACATTGCACTTACAAAGTCCTAGCTAATGCAGTAAGACAAGAAAAGGAAAGATACTCCATGTTCATAGATAGTAAGACTCAGTATTATTAAGATGTCAATTCTTTCCAACATGATCTACAGATTCAATGGAACCGCAATCAAAATCTCAGCAAGTTATTTTGTAGTTATCAATACTGAAGTTTATACCGGAGTCTGAAAATGGCCAAGAGGGTCACAGACATGGCAGCATTTAGAATGGAAAATTGACAGCCATGCCTGCAGTTCTGATACATACATCTATATGTGTACATGTGGCCAAAGAAAAGAAATACAAAAAGCAGCTAGTGAAATTAGAGTAGCTGCCCATATATACTGCACCATCTCTCCAGTCTAAATATGTTGAAGAGCAGCCTGGCCATTTACAAATAGGCTTTGCTTCTATTCACACTACAACTGGTCATTACATTGGCTGGTGCAAGGGTGTTTACATCTTTGTGAAAAATGGGATAACACATATGATACAATTTGGAAAAAGTAGATGCATATGTCTTTCTGAAGAACACTCCTCAAGATTTTCTTCCAAAAATGGAAGCGATTACGGTGATTTCAGGATTGGTGGGCTTGGTTTGAGCGAGAAAAAGTTCTAGGTTTAAGAAAGTTACTTGAGGCTGGGTGTGATGGCTCGTGACCATAGTCCTAGCACTTTGGCAGACCAAGGCAGGAGGATTGCTTGAGGCCAGGAGTTCAAGACCAGCCTGAGCAAGAGTAAGACCCCATCTCTACAAAAAATAGAAAAAATTAGCCTGGCATGATGGCACACACCTGTAGTACCAGCTACTAGGGAGACTGAGGTGCAAGGATCACTTAAACCCAGGAGTTCAAGGTTGCAGTGAGTTATGATCACACCACTACATTCCAGCCTCAGCAACAGAGCGAGACCTTGTCCCAAGAAAATAAAACAAAACAAAGACAAAAACAAAAACAAAAACAAAAGAAAATTACTTGAGCTGGGTGTGGTGGCACACACCTGTAGTCCTAGCTACTCGGGAGGCTGAGGCAGGAGGATCATTTGAGTACAGGTGTTCAAGGATGCAGGGAGCTATGATTTCACCAATGCACTCTAGCCTAGGTGACAGAGTAAGACCCTTTCTCTAAAATATATATGAATAAATAATAATATTTTTAAAAAGATAACCACTTATGCTCTGGGCCTGGCCACTTTAAGAGCAACTGCTTGCTATCCAGTTCAGTGAGTAATAATTGCTAAGGTAATAGGGAAAAGGCATATGCTACAAACCAGCAAATTTATAAAGCAGTTAAATAGTTATAGACCAAAGCAACAAAAAGAGTCACTTCTTGAACCTAAAGAAAAACTAAGCTAGGAAGCTCTGCTGAAACAGAAATACCTGCAAAAACAACTCATGTCCTGAAATAGTGCCTTTGCCATCAGAACTCGGCTCTGAAGGAAAGACCAAATCAGAATCCACCTCAGGTGCTACCCAGTTTATGCCTGACCCCAAGTTCATGGATCACAGGCAGTCCCACCCAGAAGATGTAGATCAGTACAGCACTAGAAGCTGAAGTAGACTGCATAGAGAGATTGCATAGAAAACTACAAGATGTGTTAAGTTGCAAATAATGATGAAAAAAAATCATTTAATGGGCAACTGAGTATAACTTAAATCAAATTTTCCCAGTCACATAAGTGATTACAAAACAAACTGTGAATGCAATCTAGACAATACTAAATGATTGGTGAGGGGACACAGGTAGAAGTATTAAGGTGCATTTTATGACTTTTAAGGGCATTTATTAAAAAACAAAACAAAATGAAGATATGGACACCAAAAAGACCAAAATCTAAAAATACATATGTGTGTGTGTGTGTATGTGTGTGTGTATATATATATATATACATATATATACACACATACTTGTATATATACACATACATATCTGCTCTAGCTTTTCTGAATTAATGTCAGTTAAATTAGAATGGTGTCAAGCAGAACCTTGGAGGTAAAAAAAAAAAAAATTAGAATGGTGTATGGAAGGATTTTTTCATTTCGTAGAGCTGGAATAAAATATCTATATTTTATGGCAAAAAAAGTTTATATAGAAAGGCAAAATACCCAGGATAAGCCCTCACAATACTGAAGAACAAAGTTGGAGGATTGGCATGACCAAATTTGAAGAATTCTCATAAAGCTACAGTAATCAAAACTGCATGGTATTGGTAAAAGAATAAAAAATTAAGTTAATAAAACAGAATACAGAACCTCGGCATAGACCCACATAAATATAAGCAACTGATTTTGACAAAAGAGCAGAGGCTATTCAATGGAGAAAAGATAGTTTTTTCAACAAATACTGCTGGAACAATTGGACGTCCATATGCAAAGAAATGAATCTAGACACAGACCTTTCACCTTTCATAAAAATGAACTCAAAATGGATCATAGACCTAAGTGTAAAATGCAAAACTATCACACTTCTAGAAGTTAACATGGGAGAAAGTCTTGGTGACCTGGGGTTTAGCAATGAGTTGTTAGATATAACATTAAAAGCACAATCTGTGAAATAAAAAATTGATAAGTTGGACTTTATAAAATTAAAAACATCTGCTCTGCGACATTAAGAGAATAAAGAGAAATGCATATGTCAAGAGAATGAAAAGACAAGCCAAAGACTAGGAGAAAATATTTGCAAACCACATATCTGATAAAAGACTTGTATCCAAAATACACAAGGAACACTTAAAATTCAACAGTAAGAAACAAACAACCCAATTAAAAAATAAGCAAAAGATCTGAGCAAACACCATCACCAAAAATCTTACACAGATGGCAATTAAGCCTAGAAAAATATGCTCAATATCATAAATCATTAGGGAATTGCAAATTAAAATAACAATGAGATACTACCACACAGCTATTAAAATGGCTAAAATTCATAGCACTGACATGACCAAATGCTGGCAAAAATGCAGAGCAACAGGCACTCTCGTTCATGGCTAGTGGGAAGGCAAATGGCACAGCCACTTTAAAAGATAAGTTTGCCAATTCGTCATAAAACCAAAGATACTCTTACCATGTGATCCAGAAATCGTGCTCCTTGGTATTTACCCAATTGATTTGAAAAGTCATGTCCACACAAAAACCTGCACATGAATGTTTATAGCAGTTTTATTTATAATCACCCAAACTAGAAGCAAGCCAGATGTCCTTCAATAGGATAAACAAACTGTGGTACATCTATACAATGGAACACTATTCAGCAATAAAAAGAAATGAGCTATCAAGCCGCAAAGAGACATGGAGGAACTTTAAATGCCTATTGCTAAGTGAAAGAAGCTAGCCTGAAAGGCAACATACAGTACAATTCCATATGGCATTCTGAAAAAGGCACAACTACAGAGACACTAAAAAGATCAATAGTTGCCAAGGCCTTGAGAGGGGAGGGACAAGGATAGGGGAATAGGTGAAGCATGGGTTTTAGGATGGTGAAACTATTCTGTAGGATACTCTAATGGAGGATACAAGACATTATGCATTTGTAAAAACTCACAGAACTGTGCAACACAAAGAGTGAACCTTAAACTATAGACTTTAGTTAATAATAACGTATCACATTGGTTCACTGATTGTAACAAATGTACCACACTAATGCTAACAATTTTAATAATAGAGGAGACTGTGCCCTGGGGAGAGGGAGCATATAGGAATTCTGTACTATCTGCTTGATTTTTCTTTAAATCTAAAACTGTTCTAAAAGAATAAAGTCTATTAACCATTAAAGAAATGAAAAAAACCTAGACCTTGGAAATTAGCCCTTGATGGAACTAGTGACCAGAACCAGTGAATAGTGTTAAGTCACTCCCTCTTTTTTTCCCCTCAATCTGCTTTGACATTTCTTTCATGAGTTAGGGAGTTTTTGTATACAATAGATGCCATATGGCATCAATGTAATTTTAATTGGAAAAAACAATGGAAAAGGTTAATGGACCAAAACACCCAAACAGGTAACACATTTCTATGTTATTTTCGGATACAGAATGATTTTTTTAAAAATTAGCCACATAGAAACTGCAAACTTAGGCTGAAGAAAAGCCCCACATTTTCTTAAACAGTTTATAGAGAAGACACTAAAAGTGTTGCTCCAATTTCTGTGGGATCTTTCTGGCATTTTATGTTCCATATTAATTTAACTAGAATTGACCAAGCTTAGCAATAAGTTGCTATTAAATATAAGCCATTTATTTGCTCAGGCCCATGACCAGCCTGTAAATGTATATAGTCTTGCTTTTTAAGTTTCTCCTACTAGGCTTCCAAATACAAGGTACATCAATGAGAAATAAAGAAATGAGTGACAAAAAGAATGAAAGAAATATATATTTTCACAGGCTATTACATATATCATTTGATTGATAGAGATTTTTCCCCAAAGGCTATTATAGACCAGAGAAGATAATTAAATAATTCACTCAAAGGGTGCACAGAAGTAAGAATTGAATATTCCTAACTACTAGAAAATTTATGAGTCTGCAATAGTTGACCACCCCTTTCCCCCATTAGCTTAATTAGTTCTTATCATTTACCCTCTATTAGCTTTCCTGAACAACTAGTTGACTTCAACCTTCTGGACACTGTGATTCAGGTAACTCATCATTTTTCCATCTTCACATTTATTACTAGAAAGCTTAGAGACAAAATTACGATCTGCCTCTATTAAGCATAATAAACTTCATATCATGTATTTTATGTCATAAACTTACTTCTGGCTCCATTTTACTTTCCTACCTGTATTTTCCATTTTGACTGATTGTTCCTATGTATTTTAGTTGTATTGTATCTTATTTTTATTATAAGGCTTTTTATAGAGCACATTAAATTCCTCTGGGGACAAAATAGGATGCAAATAAACAGGGAGGTAAATAAATAAGTGGAAGGAGAAAGAGAGAGAGGAGCTATACCTATTACTTGAAGACAAAATATCTCAACAATGTGTTCTCACAAGTTTGAGTAGGAACTATAGAAATGTTTGTATTTATAAATGGCCAGGACCTTGTCAGGGACCCATGGGCAGTCCAACACTGTCTTCCTCAGCAGTAGTCGGGGCACTTGGTTGAATCTGCATATATGATCCTTCTAAAAGTTTTTACCTTTTTACCTTTTTTCCACAGCTTGAAAATTTGGGTCAAATGTATATGGCAACTTTAAAAATTAGGAAGGCACTAATAAGGCTGTCTTTGTCATGGCTCAGAATATGTCTATTTTCACAATGGATTCAGGGATAAGATACTCTTGAAAAACCAGGAACTAGCTAAACAGAACAGTGTAGAAAAACCCCAGATGAAAATTTGTTTCTTACATTGATAAAACTTTATTTTAAGAACAATGTGTCTTGAAAAAGCCACTGGAGTTTAGAAAACCATTTTACTATGGATATACCAAGAATGACTGTTTCTTTTAACAGAATCTTCTGGGCCAGCATTTTTCATGCTATCACCTCGATGAGTTATTTCTCATATAAGACATGATCCTTACTCTTTTTTCACTCTTCTCTGTCTCCCAGGCTTTCATTTGGACCAGCCAGTTCTTGGTTCATTGGAAAATATTCTTACTTATTCAAGGTTCCCATGACTAAGAAATGATACCCACATAGATCTTTAGTTCACTCTTAACAGAAGAAAGCTTGATGGTCCCCAAGGAATCAAAGTTCTACAGTTCCTCCAAGAATCCACACACTGAGTAGTTAAACGGCCCCCAGAGCTTATCAAATCATTTCACTTAATTAAAAACTTTTATTTAAAAAATAGTCCTTCCCCAAAGAGTTTATGGGGAAGGAATACGGATTATGCCAAAGAGCCATGCAAAGAATAACTTATGTCTTAGCTAGAATAAAAAAATCACTAAGATATATTCTAGGTCTGGTTATGGTTTTTCTCAACTCGTGAAATTTTGTTTTTATAGAATATGACCATAATTCCATGAATCAAGGCTAAAGCGTTTCTACACTTAACCATTTACTGTTATTAACCATAGCTTAGGAGAAAAAAAATATGGGCTTTTGAGGACATATTGAATGAAAGATTCCTCACTATAAAGTGGGAATGGCTTCAACATTCTGGTAGTGTCTTTATCTGATAAAATCTGTATTTCTTAATACACCTTTAGTTATTGAAAGCAAACAGCAAAACAACTAGGGGATCTTTTATGTTGTTGTTAGAACAATTAATGTGTGCATTTTACATAGTCTTGTTCTTGCCTGCTCTTCTTTCCCATTTTAATTACTTAAATGCTAAATTAGTATCCTAAGAAAGGTCAATTGCCAGTAGTTTATGCAACCATTGTTATTGGAGAGAATTGTGTCTGTGACCTGTTATTAAAAGATTTCCATAGCATTTTGTATTTCTGTAAGTGCTTCACAGACAAAGCTTTAGTGATTACAAAAGCAACAGACTTCCTTCTCCATGGTTACTGGAAGGTGCATCCCTATCCTCCTTCCCTTCACTAATGAGAAGTCTCAGATCTGGGTTGCTTTAAAATTCACACACACACTCCCTCCCAAGGCCTCATTCATTCATACCCTCAACAAGTACCCACTGGGCACTCATTAT